ATTAGCCAGTCATTTTAATGATTGCCCTACTGATGTTTTGTATAAATGCTTTTATTAACAAATAGATAAGCCACCCCCCCAAAAAAAAAAATTCCAAGGAGGGAGAGGCTCCTGAGAGAGGAAGTCCCTGGGTGGGACTGTGCAGAAAGAACTGACCCAGACTAAGTCCTTAACATGTCTAGTTAGGAGGACCACATAGCTGGTCATTAGAAAAGACCTCCGTCTGAGACTGTAGAGAGCTATTGCCAGTCAGAATAAGCATTACTAGGCAAGATGGACCAATAGTCTGATCTGCTATATGGTGGATAGCTTTGTGGCAAGATGAGTTTTGCATTCATAGGCAAACCAGAACACAGGTGGGCTGAAGATCCTTTGTGGTCTGGTTTGGATTTATTAGATATTTGTTCCCTACCACTTGCCCCATGTCGTGCCCCTGTTGTGACATGGAGCACACAAGCCTTGAAAAAGCAAGGTGACGTCCAGAGGAGCAATTTTTTTCAACAGTGCCTTGACATCTAAATCCACCCCCTTTTTGAAAGTTAGTAAAGGTAAAGGGACCCCTGACTGTTAAGTTCAGTTGCGGACGACTCTGGGGTCGCAGCGCTCATCTCGCTTTACTGGCCGAGGGAGCCGGCATACAGCTTCTGGGTCATGTGGCCAGCATGACTAAGCCGCTTCTGTGAACCAGAGCTGTGCACAGAAATGCCGTTTACCTTCCTGCCGGAGTGGTACCTGTTTATCTACTTGCACTTTGACGTGCTTTCAAACAGCTAGGTTGGCAGGAGCAGGGACCGAGCAACAGGAGCTCACCCCGTCACGGGGATTCGAACCGCCAACCTTCTGATCAGCAAGCCCTTGGCTCTGTGGTTTAAAAGGCTTTGAAAGGGAAGGCCTCGGGCCTGCAGCCTGACATCTCTCCAAGAGTTTTTTTTAACCAGTGCATAGGCTGCACTGAATGTGAGATCCTTGGAGGTGAATATGCTGCTCTTTTATTAGAATTGGGCCCAGTTGTTTCTGCTTCAGGGGCTTCGTTCTGTTTGCTTTGATGGAATGTGATGGAAGCTTGCACTTCTCATGCCAAGTTTCACCTGCATGGTGGCCCTGATCCCACAAGAAAGCCCTGGTCTCAGGTCAGCTGCTATTCTTGCACCAGCAGTGGACTTTTGAGTCTTCAGCTGTTTTCCCAATACCAAATCATTAATTTAATTAGAAGAGAGTGCTGATGCAGACTCCTTGTCAGTGGGCTGCTTAGATCACTTTTCTAAATGCTCTTCTAACTGCAGCTCCTGTAGGGTCACCGTTTGTCATGTTTCTCAAAAGAACTCAGCATTGTTGGGCTTGTTACATATTAATGATTTCACATAACCAAGCTCAGTCTGGTTTATTAATAATGAAAGAGCATTACAGGTTAATCTTTCTGCAAGAAAAAGAAAACAAGAGAAGAAGTAATGTATGGCCAAATACCATGTTCTCCTGGGAGAGCAGAATGTACAGAATGTCCTTGTTGTCATCCTTCAGGAGATCTGATCCCATAATTAGAGATGCATACAAATGAAAATAGAAAATTTCCCACATAGTTTGTTTATGAAAAAAATAATCTTTTAATTATGTTTGCATCCACTAATATTAGCTAAATCCTTTCTTTTATGACCATGGACAACATGTAACATGGATTGGAAATACCTTTTATTTCATCGCCTAGGGATCCTTGTTCAATACATAGGAAAAACTTTTATCTACATTCCATGCATAACCAAACCATGCCCCATAAGCACCACAGACTAATGAATGGGTTCGAAGCAGCCCAGGTTCTGGGAGTTGCAGACTGGGAGCAGGCTCCACCACACACTTCTCTTCCACAGATCCACTTATTTACCATATGCATTAAACACGCACAGGTATGGGATGATGTGGTGGGAAATTTGTCCTCTGCTCCAAAAATAGCAACAAGCTCATTTGAAATGGCAACTGACACAAGTTGCCACCCAGCGGTCTTTCTAGGGGACAATCTGTTGTTTAATTGCTTTGATATGTTGCAAGATATGGCAGGATCAACACTTTCCTGCTCCTGACTTCCAGCTTCCTTGGAAAGTTTATGTGGCTCTTTCATTCCATCTTGAAGCAATGTCCCAAAAGGAAGTTTGTTCTCCTTATAAGCAAACTTTTATACACACACACACATATATACATACATACATATATATGTATATATATATATATATATATGCAGGTTTTGGTGTCCTCGGGTGTCTTCCCGTGTAAAAGTTGGGGTGTCTAGGCGACGTTTCGACGAGATAGAGATAGAGAAACACCCTCACAACATGAACAAGCGTGACGACACGTCCCGCCTGCCAGACATCTGGAAATTAGCCCTCCCCACAAAAACCGACACCAGATCCAGAGGCACACAGAACGCCATCACCAATCAACCACACCAGACCCAAACCCAGACCCTCTCCACAGATAAATTACAGACACCATCCAGTAGCCAAACCATGGTGGCACCTCCGGATGCTGCACCCCCCTGCAATCCCTACACAGATCTGGCTGACACAGGGCACAAAACCACAGCTCGCCCCTATACACGAAGCCAAGCCAGAGCACAACTAAGTGCAGTACAGCCATCTTCTCAGAAAAACTCTTCACAAAGTTCAAGAGGTCAAGACACGAAGGCTTTAGCAACTAATCCACACCTAATGACCCACCTAAGTGGTACTCAGAATATCACTCAAGAAATCACTCAAGATATCCCTCAAGTAATTAAGGAACAAAAGAAGAAAAGGCACACTAGCCTGGGAACTTCCTCTCTGCCCAGAACATTGGAGGCTATACACCACACCCCCTCAACAGTATTTATAGGAACTCAAACACTGAGATCCTGCTCTGTTCCAGTAACAAGAAGCCGAAAGCACCAGCCTGAAGATGACGAGTGAGACCTCGTCGAAACGTCGCCTAGACACCCCAACTTTTACACGGGAAGACACCCGAGGACACCAAAACCTGCATTCCTGTACCCGTGAAAATCTACGAAAGCAAATATATATATATATATATACACACACCCACACCCACACACCCGCATATATATATATATATACATTTTTGCTGCATAGGCGATAAGTGCCTTGGACTTTTGTAGCCTATATTTTAATACAGTACAGTGGTACCTCGGGATGTAAACGTGATCCATTCCGGAGCCCCATTCGCATCCCGAAGCGAACGTAACCCGTGTCCGCGCATCTGCAGGTCATGTTTCGGCGCTTCGGTGCATGCGCGTGATGTCATTTTGACGGTCTGCGCGTGCGCGCACGGCAAAACCCAGAAGTAACGCGCTCCATTAGTTCCGGGTCACCATGGAGCGCAACTCGAATTTGCCTAACCAGAAGCGTGTTCATCCCGAGGTATGACTGTAATAGCCAAATCTGATTCTCTCAAGATGTTGTTAGGCCACAACTCCCATCAGCCTCAGCTAGCAAGGCCGATGGTCAGGGATGATGGGAGTTGCAGTCCAACAACATCTGCAGGGCACCACATTGGCTATCCAGGGTGTAAGACCAGCATTTTGCCCCTTGTTCTGGCATTCTTTCCTGTCTCAAATTACTTGGATTGTGGAGGAAACCCGAGTGGGCCACAACCAAGACTTTTAGCTACTAAAGCCGCATAAACTCTGAAGAAAGGAAAATCTATTCCGTTTTCAATGATGATTTAATGAAGGAAGCTATGGTTTGCTTTTGCACTTCTACATGAAATTTGGTTACATTGCCTGTAGCTTCTATAAGATGCATCTGGTTAGGCTTGACTTGAGTAACTGTAACCATAGCTTGCCTTGTGGTTTGGCAAAAGCAGCAGAGCATCCAGCTCTCTTCTAGACTTTCTTCTCTGCCTCCCTCAGTCTAGTGAAGCTGTGACTTTGGCAAAAGCTTGTGCCACCTCACGGGACTCCTTAAAAACAGAGTTTGCAGGACAAAGGGGCAGGAGTTAATATCTATAGCTGGCAGGTTCAGTTGGGAGGGAGTATATCTTGTTAAAGCATATTTAAAAGGCCAGGAAGAAAAGCACCTGCTATGCAGAATGCTTTTGCAAATTGAAGAGTTGTCAGCAAAAAGTGTGGAAACGACCATAGGACACCTGCCACACCAGTCACAGTTAGGGTGCAGATCAGGGGCAAAGAACCTGTGGCCCTCCAGATGATGCTGTATTCCCATTAGCCCCTGCTAGGATGGCCAGTGTTCGGGGATAGTGGGAGTTGTAGCCCAGCAACATTTGGAGGGCCGCAAAACTTCTCCACCTCTGCTGCAGATCTTAATGCAATATAGTGATCACCTTTAAAACATCCAGTTGTGACAATGGATAGGGCGTACTATGCCAGGCTTTGATTGTTGCATAGGAATGATGAATAATCCTGATGTTTAGCACCCTTTCCACCCCTTAAGAAATATGTCTCGGGGACACACACACACACACACACACAACATTATCACAATTGTCACTGTGCTATTAAATGGTATCAATGTGATCTCTCAGCCTTCCAGTCGCTAGATATTGTACAACCATCATAATGCTTACCCTACATTGCTCGCATCCATTGCCTCCTGCCCTGGCAAAAGTGCTCTGACAATGGTTCTTGCTGGATGCTAGCTGACGTGGGATCTTTTGGGAGGCATGGGGGAGCAGTAAGTGTGTATAAGTGTGTACTGTTGGTGAATTGTGACAAATGGTGGTGGTGGTGGAACCCTAGGGGTTAATCAATGCTGAGAGTGCTGGATCCCTAGGTTCATGGTCATGAAATGCAAAATATTGTACTCCAGATTGTTATGTGTGGGTGAGCCTGGACTTCAAAAACGCTACACCAGTTCGTAACAACAGAAGATGCAGCTGCAGGATTGTGGCAATATTGCGAGCTAATTTTTCCATCTGTGTTCTGTGCCGTCTGTGTTATGTAAGAGAAGCCCTGTGTAGCCCCTGTGCTTCCAATGCTTTTGTCTCTCTTCTCCATGCAGAAGATACAACAGCTGTCTGAGGGATCTATGTTTGGCCATGGCCTTAAGCATCTTTTCCATAGCCGCAGACGGTCCCGGGAACGGGAGCACCATAACTCCCAGGAGTCATCACAGCAGCAGCAGCACCAGCAGCACCATGGCATGTCTGACCACGACTCCCCAGACGAAAAAGAACGTTCCCCTGAGATGCACCGTGTCTCCTATGCCATGTCTCTCCACGATCTTCCGGCTCGGCCCACTGCCTTCAACAGGGTGTTGCAGCAGATCCGCTCCCGTCCTTCCATCAAGAGGGGAACCAGCTTGCACAGCGGCAGTCGGCGAGCCAAGAGTGGCTCCTTGGAACCCCAGAAAATCAGCCCGCACCTTGTCCGCAAGGCCCCCCAAGATAGCAGCCTGACAGCAATACTGCACCAACACCAAGGCCGGCCAAGATCTTCATCCACCACTGACACCGCTCTCCTTATGGCCGAGGGTGGGACCGTATACCTCCTGGCAGAAGAGTCTGACTGCCTCGCTGACAAGGTAAGACTGAAGGTCCAGAAGTATGAGGTGTCCAGTAACTGGGAAACCCATTTCACTTCATAGTATTCTATGTTCCTGTTGCCCGCCTCTTTGATAGGGAATTCAAGGCCCTGGAATCCAATGAGTTTCAACATTGCTTGGTGCCACTTGTGGGGTTTGTGAGAAGCACATAGGAATGGGTGAATCTGTCAATTTCAGGCTCTTTGGGTTTTCATTTTTCTAATTTTTAGTTCACACTTCCACATCAGTTTGTGATTATTATTTTTTGTCTTCATGAAAATTCAGCAGCATTTTAGTGTGAATTTCTCCAAACATACACATTTTTGTGTGTGCAGTTTTGCCTAATATACCCATTTTTGCTGGGCAATTTTACCTCATAGAATGCATTTTGTATATGTTTCTTGGCTGGAGGGCTGCATGACATACTTTGGAGAACTGCAAATTTTGATGGATGGCGGTGTTTTGGTTTTCATGTTGTTTCAGCAAGTGCAAATTACATAGGTCCAGCTTTAAATGAAAACTAAATAAAATTTATCACCAGAAGCACCTCCATGCTAAAGAGAGATGCAGCATCCATCAGATGCACCTAAAATAAATCGGGTGGAATTCATATCAAAAGGCTAAACCTTAGTTAGCTGAGCTTGGCCAGCATTGCTACAAATTAGCCTTCTGAAATTATTATGGTATTGCCAATTATCTCCATATGTCTGCTTGCCTGTCCTTTCATTAACAGAGTGTGAAAAGTTCTGTCATTCCCTAGATTAGGGTGGGCAGAGTTCAGGGCTGTAGGATGAGCTTTGTTTTTTAGCCAAACCCCACAATTTACTAGTCAGAACCAGCTGCAAAAGACATAGTTGGAATTCTATGCCTCTGAGCGCCTCCTGAGACTAGGAATTTATTTTTGGTACCAGATCTGAATTGAGCTCACAGTCCTTTAGGGCAAAATCCACTTTTGCTTATTAGCGGATTTTCATTGCAGCCGCCCAATTTAGGTAGGAAAAGTTGATTTGTTGTTAAACAGTTGGGAGTCATAAATGTTTTTTCTCAATCTACTACAAATCACCTAGAAAACTACCAGTAGATCCCAATCTACCTTCTGCCTGTGCCTACTGTAGATTATCTAAAAAAGACTGGATTCTAGTCTGCATAGCACTTCAGACCTCTCCCTGCAAAATTCACATTTATTGTGACCACAGAATTTTAGATTTCTATGTTGATTATTCAGTATTCCACTAAGACAGGGATGGGGACCATTTGGACCTCCAGATGTTGTTGCATTCCATCTCCCATCAGCCCCAGTTGGCATGGTCAATGATCAGGGATGATGGGAGTTGTAGTCCAACAACAGTTGCAGACCCAAGTTTGAGAAACATTGAATTCTAGAGGGCCACAGATTCTCCATCCTGGCACCAAGGCTGCTATGACAGTGAGTCCCTGAATGCAGAGTCTTACCTTCATTGATTGAAAAAAGCACAGCTGAGAACGGTGAACAGTTGACTTGGATTCTGAGCCTAGGCAGTTGCCCTATATCTAGACTGCACCATTTAATGCTAATTCCTTGCACATAAAAAAATAGCATGTTAGGGAGAAGGGTCAACTAGAATCCTCCATGATACCTAGCTTTCTATGTGTAGGGCATTTAATGCATGGACATTCATTTATGTGAGTCTGTTTCTGTATTTCCACATAGACTGGGCTGGCTGTTATCAGGAAGGATGTAGCGATCACAGATTGCCCACTCTTGTAGCACATTGTGACTATGCTGTTAATGTCAGACATCAGGGCAACTGCTTAATCTATGGGTGTGGACTTGCAGGCCTACAAAGGCAACATTGCATGTCCTACATTGTTTCCTACTTGCTGGTTTTCATGTTGTCTATTTTTAGCATTATGCTTCCTTCCTTCCTTGCAGTAGGCTTGCTTTATGAATGACCTCACTAGTTGGCATCATGGTCAGTCATGCTGCCATTTGATGAGCTAGAATGATATCCAGTAAGTCCATGAAATCTTTGTCATCTGCTGAAAGTGGATGATATCATTATAGCTGTGGGTTTTCAGAATCTGGTCATTTAATGAAAATTCAAGTCAAGACCAACTTGGAGTGGGAGCAACAACTTTAGCAGTTGTTCTACACCATGGGTAGGCAAACTAAGGCCTGGGGGCTGGATCCGGCCCAATCGCCTTCGAAATCTGGTCCGCGGATGGGAATCAGCGTGTTTTTACATGAGTAGAATGTGTGCTTTTATTTAAAATGCATCTCTGGGTTATTTGTGGGACATAGGAATTTGTTCATTTCCCCCCTCCAAAATATAGTATGGCCCCCACAAGGTCTGAGGGACATTGGTCCGGTCCCCTGCTGAAAATGTTTGCTGACCCCTGTACAAACACACACACACACACACACACACACACACACACGGAGATCTCAAAAGTTTTCTGCCTGGCCTTGACAGCTGTTGTTGCAGGTAGTGCCTGATTCTGATTCTTTCAGCAGGTTTTTTTGTGATTGCTACAAGCTCACAAATTCAGGAAGCTTTGGTCTTGCTCTGGATCATCTTCATTTTGCCTTAGTGATGATTTCATGTAGTTAAAACTGATTGGCTGAATAGTGCTACCGCATCATCCCTCTCATTATGTGATCCCTGATTGGCTGTGATTGCCCATATGACTTTTTTGAGGGGCGGGGATAACTATGAAGCAGTAGCAGAAACAAAAACAATGGAAGGCACAGGATTTTAAAAAACTGAATATTTGAACCATTTGCAGGGTTTTTTCTGTCTCTGTGAAAGCAGTTTCCAAGCCAGTAATCACGAAACATTTGGCACTGCTCTAATTAACTTCCCCCTTTATATAGATGTTGACAACATTACCACTACCACTGAACACTATGATTAAAATAAAGTAAAAATATTTAAAATATGCAATTACAGAATTAACTGAATTAACAGTGTATAGCGTCAGCCCATTGTGATATGTAACCTGGTACCAAAAGACAAACCCCCTAAAAAAGAGTGCACCAGAAAGCCCTAGATCTTTCTTGTCCCATTCTTGTCCCATTTTATGTGCATAAGACGTGACTCCAAATTTTTTCTGCAGGTTCAGGAACAGAAATCTCAAAATGTTTACCATTTCTAACAGTAGCAAAATTATCTCCTGTCCTTATCTTCCTGCCTAAGAATCACAGTATTAAATAATGTCGCACATGACCTTACTGAGAATCTGGTTAGACAAGGTCTTGCTCTGGGGCTTAGAGCTTGGAGCTGAGCTCTTGTCATGGAGTTAGTTGAGAACTTCCAATGGGACAAGGATTCCAATGGGACAAGCTTAACCACCAGGCCCATGCACAGCTTGCCTGAGATCCAGAGTTGGAATAGAATAAAGTCATAAACTCAAACAAAAAGGTACCCAGTCCCTGGCAGGGCCCCCCAATCAGCTTGGCCCTCCAAGTCCCAGGGCAAGTGTACCTGGCTGAGCCCCCCCCCTCACTTCTGCATGGGCTCGACAGCCATAAAGCCAAGCTATCCTGAGCATCTTTGCAAAGTTTCTCTTTTGGCCAGAACAACACTGAGAGATATGAAACAGCAATTACCCATACCTGTGAGCTGAATTTTAATGCTGCGTAAGCAGCCCATCTTTACTGAGCAAACGTGTTGTTTTGGGTGCCTGGAAGATGCCTGGGCACGTCTCTGGGTGAAATGAAGGTGGCGGATGTGACTGTGAATATTTTCAGTGAGGGGATTTGGGGGAGTTTGTGAGGAGCTTTGCAAATCCTAAGTAAGGGCTTTTGCAGCTGCTAAGACCTTTCCGCTAGGAGAACAATAAATTGCCTGGTTCCTTTGGGGTCAGCGGGATCAGGCTAATTCCATACTGAAGTCTTGGTACATGCACTGTTTGTTGCTCTGTAGACAATATTTCCTATCAAGCAACTGCAAGTAGTGATCAAAGTGGAGGTCATGGATACAGCTGCTTCTCATAAGACAGGATCTTGAACATTGCTTGGAAGATCATGCAAGCATTGCCCCTTGCACATTTGCCAGATGGAAATGTACATTGAAGGGGGGCTGGCATAGTGTTGTGTGAATTCCAATCCCTCACATTATTTTTAGCCCATTCTGAAGTCTGGGTCCTGTTGCTGTACCTGTGACATATGAGAACTCTGCTGTTGAGACTTGGCTTCTTTTTTAAAATGATGGCAGTATCAAGAGTGCCTCACCCCCCAAACACTCCTCTGGCATCCCAAATCCCCTTCTGCTGCTCTCTCTGATTTATAGTGTATAAATTTCTTGTGTGTATGTGTGGGTGTCTGTACACATTAGTGTATGGTGGGGTAACTGGCTGCTGCTTATATGCTTACCTGACATACGCTTAGACCTTTATTGTTGTTCATATCTACATAGTTACAGCACCTGCACTGTGCAAAAGAGGTACAGTCACATGTGTACTGATGTGTGCGCATGCACAAATGCACACACACACGCAATCAAATGAGAGACAATATTTCATAGGTGGCAGGGGAACTACCTTTTCATAAATAGGCCAAAAAGTAGATGCCTTGGGTGAGAGCATTGGACCACACAGCCATCAGTACTTCATTGTGACTTGTTAGTAAGGACAGTGGGTGGAATACTCAGGGGTTTTCTTTTTCAGCCTGCCAAAGGTATTGGATCATTGGAACAAAGTTAATGCCAAGTGGTACAGTTTTAAGGTTTCTTTTTTTAAAAAAATTGATTTTGGCCAGCAAGCTAGCCAGCTTGCAGGCAGCTACCATTTACCTTCTCCATTTGGCAGCTCCCTTCTGCCTTCTGTCTTTGACTATGAGTGCTGTCTTTTCAAAATGATAAGGGGCTCCTCTGGATGTTTCTCTCACTAGCTGCCCAACTATGGGATCCCAGGTTTTAAGTCCCCCTTTTCCGAAGACAACATCCTCCGAATCGTTTAGCAGAGGTATCCTGATACCTTTTCCCCGCCCCTCTTTGGGCTGCCAGAGAACATATCCCTTC